AGGAGCTCTGAACCCCATGTCTTTGTCACGCACTTCCTCCTGGGCCTCCTCATTGCACTGTGTCAACCCTATGAAGTCATCCATGCCCGTTCCTCTTCCTCCCACAGGTGCCTCATCAGGATGTCCCCACGCAATCCCCTCCTTTGACAATGCTGTTCCACAACTCTCACTGCTTGGCACAGATCCAGGAGGTTCCTGGCAAGTTCCATGGGCACCCAAGCCTCATGCTTCCTGGCACCCAGCTGGGCTCAGATCTGAAGAGGCTGAGGAAGCCATGCAGGGCTACTAAAGACGTTTATAAGACTTAGCTTTCTGATGCCAACCAGAAAATTTAAAAAAACAAGAAACAAACATTTGCTTCAGCACAGTCTTGGGGGAGAAAAATAACATTTTCATTTTAGAATTCTTTTTTTTTTTTTACAGGGCTTCTCTGTGTAGCCCTGGCTGTCCTGGAACTCAGTCTGCAGACCAAACTGGTCTCAAACTCAGAGATCTGCTTGCCTCTGCTTCCTGAGTGCTGGGATAAAGGTGTGGGCTACCACACCAGAATTCATTTTGGGAATTTTATCCATAGATACTGATCACAGGCCTATATTTTGCTAAATTTCCAGCTGTATCAACAACTGGCCAGGGCTGGTTTCAAATAGTCTAATTCCATTTATTTGCTTTTCAAAATATATGAATAATTTCTCCATTTTTTTAAACTTGGTGAGATTCACCCTAGCTTTTCAAAAAGTCCCTGCAAGACCATCTGCAGAGCATGTCAAACCCCAAAATAAATTTTAGTTTAATAATCACAATCTATAGCAGTCACAATCTAAGACATCTTCAGAGAAAGTGTTCCCACTTCACTGACTGAATTTCTCTAGCTATTTATAGAAGGAAGTTTTATCATCTATCCTTCAAAAAAAAAATCTTTCAACGCCTCAACTGCTCTGCTCCTATCAGAAAACATTACATTTCTGCCTTGCATGGCCTCATATAAAAGCACTATGCTTGCAGGGGAAAAAAATAAATGTATTTGAAATACATTACCATGCGGGCAAATTATATTTTGCCACATGGTACACTTGGTAGGTTAACGGGTTCTGCGTGTTGGGGGCCATTAAAGACTTGTTTTTGAAGGAAGAACATAAAATATACAGAGATTTTAAAAAAGTGTAGAGAAGCAGGTTCTTCTCATACTTTTGAATAGAGGCTCTAATAGTAAACCGCTCTGTGGACAGGCATGGCCTCCACTGAACAGATTTCAATCCTTCATAAAAAGATATAAAACCCCTTTGTGAGATGAGCACTCAGATGCCTTGAGTTTCACACTCAGACCAGATGACAGCATTAGCTTGGTTTTAAGCATCACTGTGAAGTCAGAAAGAATTGAAAAACATCAGAAATGATTTAAGAATAAGGAAGCCCCTTAGGTTCATTGACTCATCATGTAAGTCACATGGAGATCTGTAAGTCTTAGGAAATGGCATTAAGTATGGTACAGAAACTCTTGAAGGAGCTGTATTGTGGGATCCGTGGTCTATGTGTCCAGTTCTTTCAGGCCATTGCAGTCTAGATGACTGCAAACTCAGCAGTGGAATGGAAGTGCTGGGACTGCCCCTGACTAACCCAGAGCTTACAGGCCCTGAGATACTTAAGAGGTTTCCTACATGAGCTGGGGAAAACACAGTTAATGTATTTTTTTGTTTGTTTGTTTTTTTCGAGACAGGGTTTCTCTGTGGCTTTGGAGGCTGTCCTGGTACTCGCTCTGGAGACCAGGCTGGTCTCGAACTCACAGAGATCTGCCTGCCTCTGCCTCCCGAGTGCTGGGATTAAAGGCGTGAGCCACCAACGCCCGGCCCAGTTAATGTATTATAATGCATGTGTCAAACCAATTCATAGACTTTAGAATATAAGAGCTCCCTTGACACTAGAAATGTGTGAATGCTAGGTCACAGAGGGAAGCAGCCAACTGTCCCTGCCTCGAGCACTCTTTCGTCAATGAGATGCTGCTCGTGGCCTTGGGTGACACTTTGTTAAACAGGTATGAAAATGCCCAGTAGACATGACAGAGAATCCAAATCTATAGAGTATGAATGGCGGCTAAACACACATAAAACCACAACCATGTACAGACACATACCAAAGACAGCCTTCAAACAGCCAGGGCACATAAGTGCCAAGTAAATGATCTACAACTGGCAGCGCACACACAGAATGGAACTTGCTCGTCGTTAACTACACAAACGCTGTGGGAGGCTAATAGCCTCTGTGATTATGTTAGGGACATCCTACCCTAGAAGCAGCAACAGCATGGAAACCGCCAGGAAGAACAGCATGGAAACCGCCATCGTTAGGAAACAAGAACAATCAAAATATGCACAAACACACCCAACGGGTGTTTTCAGAAACTGCATAAAAGTCCTCGAAGGGCTGTGACCCTTGAGAGAAAAGAACACCCCACCATTACTCTGACTGTCTACCTGGAGGCAGCTTCCAGGCTGCAGCACACAAGGGAGGAACACAAACAGAAGAGGAGCAGAGGTGCGCCTTTTGGATGCTCAAGATAATTAGGTTGTATGAGGCAGACAGAAGACAGTCTTGAGGACAGGATGTCCAAGTATATGCATTGGAGTCTCTTAAGTCCCTTAGACCAGCATTTCTCAAGCTGTGGGTCATGACTCTTACGGGGGTCAAATAACTGTTTCATGGGGGATTCATATCAGATATCCTGCATATCAGACATTTCCATTATGATTCATAACAGTAGCAAAATTAAAGTTATGAGTAGCAACAAAAATGATTTATGGTTGGGGATCACCACAGCATGAGGATCTGTGTTAGAGGGTCACAGCATTAGGAAGGCTGAGACCACTGCTTTCAGTGATTATCAGTCTGTGGATACCGAGTCAGAAGCCTCACAAAACTCAGGGAACAAAATTTTGAGATGAGTTACTAGGCAGCCAGGAAAAAAAAAATTCTCACAACTCACAACAGCTTGAATTTGTTCCATGTCCCCACAGCCCAAATGGAGAGACCTTGTGAATACACAGTCACCAGGCACAGACTCCAGAAATGAGCCCTAAAATATGGATTATTTGATGGTCTACTCTCCACAACATAGTCACGGATTTCTTCCTTAAACAAGAGCTGGACCATGCCATCCCGGCTCCAAGCCCTCTAAGGGCTGTCTCTCATAGTGAGTCAGATACCCGAAATGTGTCATGAGGCTTTATATGACCTCAACTCCCCTGTCCCCATCCCATTCCCTGGCCACTCTCCTCTCTATAGCCTTTTCCTTCTTGCTTTCTGGGGGGTGGGGCCTTGCACTGGTTCCTCCCTCTGTCTGGAAAGCTCCTCCCTCTGCTTGGAAAGCTCCTCCCTCTGCCTGGAAAGCTCCTCCCTCTGCCTGGAAGGTAACAGTACAGACACCGACCAGGATCCCTCCCTCATCTTCCCTTGAGATTGACTTACAGGACACTTTCTTGGGAAGGCCTTCCTGATCACTCTGTTCAAACAAGAATCCCTTCCTGCACAAACCCCCTTCTTCCTCCTTCACCAACGTTTCGTTTTCTTCAGCACTGCTTATTTATCGCAACTGACAGTGTAACTTACTGACTTCTTTTTTTTTTTTAACAAGTCAGCCCCATATTTTAAAATTTAAGCTCCCTGAAGGCAGGATGTTTTTGTGTGTTAATTGCATTGTCACCACACCAGGATCAGCACTGAAATGCTTACCAGAAACAATTGCCTACTGACTGAATTACAGTGGACTAGTACCTGCTCTAAGTACAGGTATTCCCACTAAGATATACAGCTATCATGGAAACTACCAAGGCAGAAGCTTATTAAAAAAAAAAAAAGAAGAAGAAGAAGAAGTAACTCTCTGAGTCATGACAATTCACAAAGTAATAAACAGCAAAGAGATGAAAACATTTCTGTCCAACAATAATGGCAATGGTCACTGCGCATGGTGACTCACATCTGTAATCCCACCACTCAGGAGGCTGACACAGGAGTAAGGTGAGTCCAGTTTGGTGTGTAGAGTGAGTTCTAGGCCAGTCAGGGCTACATATGAGACTTGGCTCAAAAATAAAATGGTAAAACCCCAAAATAATCAAGTATATGGAACATCCAAGAAAAATAACTGCTATAAATTTCCTAGAAAATTAGTTGGACTTAAGAAAACAAAGTCCAAACAGGGGAGGGAAGATGGGGCAGAGGTTAAAAGAACTTGTTGGTTTTCCAAAAGACAAGGGTTCGATTCCCAGCATCCACATTGACAACTCACAATGTTCTGTTAACGCCCGTTCCAGGAGAATCTGAGGCCCTCTGCTGGCCTCAGTGGATACTTCATGCAGGTGGTACACATACATTCAGGCAAATAGTTATACACACAAAATAAAAAAGATAATAAATGCTTTTTTAACATTTAAGTATACTTTTACACAATAATTCATTTCAAATCAGTTGTCCTAAGGATAATATGCAGTTTGTTGTTCACAAAAATGTAAATACTAATATTATTTCAAGAATATAAAATAAGCAGAACCCAGTTGGCAGTCATCCTATACAGTCCAGGACCCTGAGCCCAGGTAATGGAGCTGCCCACAGTGGGCTGGGACTTCCCAGATCCACTCACATAATGAAGATAATCTCCCACAGACATACACACAGGCTAACCTATCTAGACAAGCCCTCATCGATACTCTCTTCCCCCCAAAAATAAAACTAACCTTCAGAGCAAGTCTTCTGAGTCTACAGGAGTTTTAAAGAAGGGAGAAATTGGAAGAAGCCAGGAGGTGATAACAGCGGCCACGGCTGTGAAGGTGGCATGGAAGATGACAGCTGCATCAGGTGAGTTCTCAAAAACATCTGTGTCTCCAGACAGATGGGGGGTTGGGGAAAGGCTTCTTTTACCAATCAGAGTCGTTCATAAGTAGATACTCACAATATTTTATAGTTGATATTTATATGTGTACCAGGAAAAGAGAGCAGTTGTTAGACTTAATTACCTGAAGGATCAGAACCGTAGAAACTGGCAGCTGTTGTTATCGGTCCGGGTGGATGGATGGCACTTGCTGAAGACCTCTGACTTGCAATCAGAATCCTGCTCTTGGTGGATGGGAGACGTGACATTGCACCCAGTCCCAACTGGGGCTTAAGGAGCATGGCAGAGCGATAGAAAGTGGGGGGGACCTCATAATGAGTGTAAGGAGGTGAGCAAAATTCTTCTTTCCCAGGGTGGTCCGTGACCTATGATGAGAGATCAGAGTAAATCAGTCTAAACAGGGACAGGAGATCTACGCTCAGCTGACAAGCACCTTCACGCTATTAGCCTCTTGGTCAGAGATGTGGTGCTGTCTCTCAGCCCAGGGTCCTCATCTCCATGATGACAGCACAACTGAGTGAGCACTTGAGTCCCTGCCAATTGTAATACTCTATCAATCTACGTGTCGTAGGGAGATAAAAAGAACTCAGTTTTAAGATTTCTTTTCCATTTCACTGTTATAAATGCACTGAAATTTCAATGACTACTTATTAAACAAACAATATCAGGGCTGGAGAAAGGCTCAGCAGTTAAGAGGAATTGCTGCTCTTGCAGAGAACTGAGGTTGAGTTCCCAGCACCCACATGGTGTCTCACAACCATCTGTGACTTCATTACAAGGGATTTGTCTCCCTCTCTGGCCACATCAGGCACTGCACACATGTGGTGCCCATAGATGCAGGCAGGCAAAACACCCATATACATAAAATAAAAATAAATCTCAAAAATTAAGTAATGTTGATTAAACAAAAAAGGAATTTAACAAATGTTCAAAAATGACTAAAAGCTTCATTATACCTATGGAGAAAATACATCATTTTTATACCCACTAATCTTATAAGTAAATAAACTATTATGTCATGTTTAATCAATAGAACACTTAAAAATAGTTGTTAGTAGGGGGAAAATGTTCATCTGCAGAAAAATAGAGAAATTAATAGAAAAAATTGTAGGCCTGTACTGCATATTTACATAATTAAAACCAGACTTGGGGCAAAGTAGATGACTCAGTGAGTGAAGGTGCTTGCTGCTAAGCCTGATGACCTGAGTTCAACACTGAGGATTCATACAATGGAAGGAGAGAACAGACTTCTGCAAGCTGTCTTCTGACTTCCACTCGTGTGCCGTATACACACACACACACAGGAACACTCACACACATGTGCACTCACATGCACACACACTCACATGCACACACAAACACTCACATGAACACACACTCACATGCACACACACTCACATGCACAAATGAATACTCACATGCACACATGAACACTCACTCACATGTACACTCACATGCACACACACAGTCACATGCACACACAAACACATGCACACACACTCACACACACACTCACACTCACTCACATATACACTCACATGCGTGCGCGCGCGCACACACACACACACACACACACATACACACACACACACAGATGCTAAATGTTCTCAGGAACATTTGGGTACATTCCTCTGGGATAACAGATCCAGGCAAGAGTTCTGGGGACTGCTCAGTTCAGAGCATGTATCAACAGGGTCTACACATAAACAGTTGTTAAGCAAAGGAATCATGCTTCCCTCCACCAATTCCTCAGTTTAATAGCATAGCATTGCTACTAATTTTTCCTGTACTTAACAATTCAGAATGCAATCTATAGTAATCATATTTGTGTGCATATATGTACATATATAATATAGATAATACATAATGATATATCCACAGCCTGCTCCCAGAATGTCCATTCTCACATAATTTTGGATTTGGGTGCTGGGGATGGGACTCTTCCCCAGTCTTCTTTCCAGTTTATTGTTTCTTTATATTAAACAAGCAAAAAGGAATGGCACAGTCAGTCTAGTTGTTATAATAATTTTAAAAAAAACAGTGCTGGGGCAATGTCTGAGTAGTCACCTCAATTAATTCTACTCTAAACCATAATTTATTCTGCATGTCAAGTTGTTATATGTTCAGGAATTATGAATATTTCACAATATCTTTTAATAATGGCTCCAAAGGCTTTGATCCAAGCTGTTGAAGGCATAAACCCTATTTTGATCCCCTTTTAATGTTGAAATGGATACGAAGTTCTTTAAACTCTCATCACCGAAACAAAAGATTAGGCATTTAAAGTTTCATTATAATCACATCGTGAAATATGCATGGCTATTAGACTGCACTCAGGCTGGGGTGAATTCTGCTCCCTGGAAAGAACATTTACCATCTGCACTCATATACAATTGTTATCATGATCTATTGTCTTACTACCCATCCATGACTTTTCTTTTCTAGACCCTTCTTTTTAAAATTTTTGGGTGCCACTCATCATGTCCAGTCTCCCTAAGTAAGGGTTTTAGGATTATAATATGCTGATCTGATCCTTCAGAAACAGGCATTTCAGAGTCCACTAACCTGTCATTTAACAGTGACTTCAGTGATTCCAGCAGTGTCAATGCCTGCCATTTTGCTGGGTAATCTTTTTCTGGTTGCAAACATCTGAGATGTCCTCCCTAGGCTCCTGTAATGAGTGTTTGATTCCAGTAGCACTCCAGCATGACTGCTGACAGCTAAGAGGCAGTGTCAACAAGACACAAATCGCCTCTACAGTTGAATTTTGAATACTGCACCCACCCACCCAAACTATTTCCTCAGCTTCCTGGTACACATCATGTCCACAGCAGCCACAGACTCCCATTACCACAGCCAGCCACTCCTTATGGGGCTGTGCAGCCCCACACGATGGATGGACTCAGACTCTTTCTCCAGCATCCTTAGGATGCAGTCACCACCCTCTCCAGCATCCTTAGGATGCAGCCGCCACTCACTCTCTCCAGCATCCTTAGGATGCATCCACCACTCACTCTCTCCAGCATCCTTAGGATGCAGTCACCACTCTCTCCAGCATCCTTAGGATGCGGCCGCCACTCACTCTCTCCAGCATCCTTAGGATGCGGCCGCCACTCACTCTCTCCAGCATCCTTAGGATGCGGCCGCCACTCACTCTCTCCAGCATCCTTAGGATGCGGCCGCCACTCACTCTCTCCAGCATCCTTAGGATGCGGCCGCCACTCACTCTCTCCAGCATCCTTAGGATGCGGCCGCCACTCACTCTCTCCAGCATCCTTAGGATGCATCCACCACTCACTCTCTCCAGCATCCTTAAGATGCAGCTGCCACTCTGTCCAACATTCTTAGGATTCAGCCGCCAGGTATTTTGCCACAGTGACATGAAAGAAAAAAGAAAAGCAAAACAAGCATAAATTCTTTTACAAGGTGAAAATTTTGCTTTTCATGTCTGGTTTATGCATTTTTTATTAAACAGGGGGATCCTACTTTTCTTTCATCCTCCTGACAAAACAGAACAGGTTCTATAGTTAGGAACACAGTGATCAATGCAAATGTCCCACTGACCTCCTTCTCCAATTGGGGTATTTTTAGAAAAAACTCTGTGAGTCCACAAAAGACGCCTCAGATTTCAAACACAGTCCTAAAATCAAAGGATACGTTTAAACAAATTCCTCCTGCCATAACCCCCTCCTGCTTTGCCCTGCCCCATTTTCCCTAGGTTCATTTTCCATGAACTTTCTCTGGGGAGACATAAAATTAAAATCTGCACTCAAACTGGCACAGCATCAAGAGCTCCCAAAATGATTCCTGCAAGGGGCTGGAGAGATGGTTTAGTGGTTGAGAGCACTGGCTGCTCATCCAAAGGACCTGGGTTGGGTTCCCAGCACCTACATGGCAGCTCATGACTGTTTGTAACTCCAGTTCCAGGAGATATGATGCCCTCTTCTGGCCGCCACGGGTACAACATGCACATTGTGCCCAGACCCACACACAGGCAAAACACTTGCACACATAAAAATAATGTAAATGGCTCCTTAAAGCTCATCTTGCTTGATGAGTTAAATGACTTTATTAGGTGTCACCCACGGAGGAGTAGACAACTATGGACAGCTATATTTTCCTCTTGTCACTAATGCTCCATTTACAAGATCACATACTATAGGGCTTATGTCAGAAGCTCTGATGCAAACCTGAATTCAGGGTGCTAGCTAGTGTTTAAGGAGCACATCTGACCCTAAAGCCATTTAGGGTGCCCATCCCTGCCTTCATCAAGGACCTTTGACAAACACTGCTAAGCTGTGGGGACGACACCTTGATTTGCAGCAGGCTGGCATGAAGAATAACTAAAGGACAGCCTGCTAAATGTGGTGCCAGTTCGATTCTCTGGTGCTTTTGATAAAATGACCAAAACCAACTTGAAGAGTAAAGGATTTATTCACCTTATATTTCAAGGTCGCAGTCCATTATGCAGGGAAGTCAGGCCAGGAACCTGGGAAGCAGGAACTGACCCTGAAGGGATGCTGCTCACTGGCTTTCTCATGGTTTGCTCATCTTGCTTTCTTACACACCCAGGACAACCAGCCCAGGTAGGGCACAGTGCACAGCAAACATACAACAAAATGGGAACCACCACTGCGGTCCTTACTACAAAGAGCCTAGCATAGTCTTTCATGTCATTATTTTTGCATATATTTAAGTAAGATTTTCTATTGTACCTTCTGACACAGGGTTACACTCAGATGCCCAGGCTGGCCTGGGACTCAGTTCTCCTTTTTTGGCTCCACAAATGCTAGGCTTGCAGGTGCACTACCGTGCAAAGCTCATCACAAGGTTTTCTCCAAAGAGAAACACTCCCCGCCAAAGGATTAGTCTGCTCAATCTGAATACTCTATTTACCTTAGCTTCTCCCTTGCTTTGGCCTCATAGACCGCTACTTGTGTATTTACACATGGAAGCTACCTTAGGTATTGGGTCCGTCTCAACCTGGCTATCACACTGTTCTAGACAGTCACTTCCAGGCACAAGTATCTTTGTAGAGATCTGTTCATGCACATGCGTAGTTCACTTACAGTGAGACACTTTTTTTTTCAAATTCCACTGGGGGAAAAAACAGACTTAAAAACACAAATGTATAGCTCATTTTACAGTGCCACCCTCTTACCTCCTGCAGAAACTTCTCACTCATCTGACTGAAATGATGCCCTGGGGGCTTGATCCCAGACACCATCAGTCCAGAGGGGAAGACCCTCGGCTTCTGCAAGTCAGGCTTGAATTTCTCATACATGTTGGCAGATGGCTGAAGGTCACGGTTCGCTGTCTTCTCCTCTTGTGGAAGAGGCATGCCACATGAAGGAGGGGCATATGGAAGCCCCACGGGGACCAGTGAGGCATCCCCCTGACCCAGTGCCTGAGGGTTCCTACGGATGTAAGTGATGATCTTGGGCCTCACATGTTTGGGCTTCGGCATAAGGACCGGCTTTGTCTCTGTCCTTTCTTCCACTTTCTCCATCTCGAGTTTCTCGGTTGCTTCCTGGGAGGAAGGTGCGTCCTTGGGATGTGAAAGAGGCTTGGGGATCCCACTGGGGCAGGTGCTCTTATCGGGCACTTTCAGGGATGTGTTCAACACCTGCCCACCATCAGTGGGTGGCAAGGCCACCAGGGTTGAGCCCGTGTCCACGCTGAACTGAGAACTGCTACCTTGAGGAGTGGGGTGGTGAGTCAAGTTCACAGTTGTCTCTGGGTGGAGGGGAGCTGAGGTGCTGAAAACTGAATCTCCTCCAGCTGGAGCGACTTCGGTTTGGGCTGCGTTTTCTAGACGGTTCCTATCTTCAGCTACAGGTGTCGCTGTCTCTCTGCCTTTTCTGGCTTCTGAGTTGCCGCTGTGCGGGCCCAAGAGCTCAGGGGCCTCAGCTCTGTTCCCTCCCACAGAGGGACCTGCGGCCAATGCCTTGGCACTGCCTCCATTCTGGCTACCCTGACTCCTCTCCTCCCTACTGACCTCAGAGGAGATGCTCTCAGTATCACGGAGAACACAAGCTATGTGGCCATCGCTGGGTGCAAAGTCGCTGGATGCTGTTTCCCTCATGGTCCTACCTAAGGCGCCTGGTGACGTTTTACCAGTGAGTCTAGTACCTCCCTCTCCAGGAGCAGTGCTCTGCGCTGGGGTGGCTTGCTGAAACCCCTCCACACCAGCACTGACTCCCATCATTTCTTCCAGGCCGCTGCCTTCTCCCACTTTAAGCTGGTGGTGGCTGCTGTTCAATTGACTGGTGGCTTCTTGATGTGTCTTCTCATGTAGCTCCTTCCTCTCCACAGGTGACATACTTTTCTCCTCGTGACATCCCAGACCCTGTGCCTGGGATGACTTTAGCCCCTGCTCATTCCTGGGTTGAAGGTATTTGCGCTCCACTTTGAGCTCCCCTGTTCCTTGGCCTACGAACACTTCCGGGTGACTGGGGCTGGGAATTTCCATCAATGCTGAAGCTGAATTGGGAGTCGATTCTGGGTGAGGGATGCACTCGCTGTAAAGGTCCAGGCCATGTGTCCCCTCCATCTTGGTGACTGATGGGATGGACCCCCTGGCTTCTGAGGTAGATGGTTTAGGAGGACATACACACCTCCCCGCTGAGGTACCCTCACCTACAGATAAGACTGTCCCTGGAGTGTGACCAGCCAATGTCCCCTGTGGCCCCTCCCCACGCCCAGGCACAAGGCCCTGTGGCTCTGAGGTGTCCAGCCGCATGGGCTGCAAATTCTCCCAAATGAGACTGCCAGCTGAAGCTGCTGAGCTGCTGGCTCTTTTCAGCTCTTCATTGTCAAGGGTCTTTGCCAACTTGTCCTTGGGAATGTGTCGGGGAACTTCAGCATCCCTTTTAGCTGAACCCTCTAGACTGGCCTGACCCACTGCATTCCTCCAACTGGCTAGACCTGGTCCCTGGACACTCTGGGGGGTCTGCAGGATAGCTCTTTTCACTGTGTGTTCTTCACTCGGTTGTCTATGAACAACCAGAGAAGGATGAAAATCCCTCTGGCTGGTGGAGGCAGCCTGAGCCCCTTTCCCAAAGCCCTGAGGTTGAGGGGGCTGCTTCTGGGAGTGGCTGTGGTACTGTGGCCTGCTCACATTTGCATTTCCAATTTCATCATCCAGATCACGTGTCCTGGGCTCATCATTCGGGGAGCTGACCTCCAACATGATTTGATTGGCATTTGTATCTCCCATGCTTAGAATGCTCTCGTTATTGTTTTTTGCCCGATCTTGGTGCTCTCGCAACTGACTGAAACAGTGTTTCTTTGGAGCCAGTGGGATACTCATGGTCACCTCTTCAGTGAGGGCTGCTGGCCATGCAGTCCCCCTTCAAACTGCAGGGCAACAGGCAGCTGTCTTGTTGCCTGTCCTCCTGTGACAATGGCACATCTAGACACTACTTTGAACCTCTTCAGACAAGTTTCAGAACCAACCATTGTCTTGACACGCAGCGAAACAACTCACGATGCTCCATTGCTGCTCAGTGAAAACCAGTTAGTCGATGAGACCTGTGAAGAAATGAAAACACCGTCATTTTAGAATGAAGACAACAATAACCATGAGTAAGAGACACATGCGAGAGCTAGCAGTGGTGGCGCTCGCCTTTAATCCCGACACTTGGGAAGCAGAGACAGGTGGGTCTCTGTGAGTTCTGAGACCAGCCTGGTCTACAGAGTGAGTTCCAGGACAGCCAGGGCTGTTATAACAGAGAAACCCTGTCTCAAACAATAACAAAAGACAAACAAACAAACAACATCATCACCAGAAGGGTGAGCATAACACAAGTCATTTGGGGAAGAAAAGAAAAATCCTATGCAGATGATTTTCATCACAGTGCATTGTTATGACTGCTCTGTTTTATTGCAAATTATTTGCTAACCTCTTGCTGGGCCAAATGTATAAGGCACACTTTATCATAGGTCTGTCTGTGTAGGGGAAAGGTACCACCTGTAAATCCAAGCATCCCAGGGATCTTGAACTGCATCCTCACCAATGAAGGTAGATCACAATACACACAGCTGAGAACCGTGAGCCCAGCATGCTTTCCCTTACTGTAGTGTCTCTCTCCATCTCACCCCTAACTTCCTAACATCTAACCCTAGCATCCTTGCAAATTCTGAGATACATCTCTCCTTCCTGTTCATTTCTTTTCCACCTGTACATACATGTTTTTCCACCTAAATGGAGTCCTTTTGTATAATCTGACCCTTAGTCAGTTTTGTTTTCTTATGTGTGCCTTCCCATCTTCACCCTAGGACATACTATCACAACTGTGTCTGCTCTGCATGTCCTGGGAATGTAGACTCTTGTGAACATAGCCTCCATCACTTGCTGCCATGCTGATCTTGTACTCCTCCCACACCTCCCTCATGGTCCCTGTTTCTCCCCCCCCCCCCCCCCCCCGCATGCCAGTAGCATCCTGAGGTACAGCCTGGCCTCAATACAATCCCTAACTGAGGGACTGAGCCTAACACAGGAAAGTTGTGCCAAAATTGCCATTTCGTTCTTGTTTCCATTTTGAGAATACATTTGTCTTCCAGGCAAAAAACTAACAACATCTAAGCAGATTCATGGGACAGCCATTTAAAAAGAAGCTAAACTCTCCAGGCTGGGATGTGAGTATCCCAACGAGCCAAGAAATTCACAAGCATGGCCATCCACAGAAGGGCACCATCTCTGACTCCCTAGAGATGCAAGCAAGTACAGACACAAAGCCAAGAGCTCTCTTGGTCTGAATCTCATGAAGAAACAAAACCAGAACATCAGAAACCATGAGGAACAATGGGATTTCTAGAAAGTGACAAACGCCCATAAAACAGTGTCTTGCTAGAGAAAGCTGTGTTGTTTGTTTGGTTGGTTTTGTTTTTGTCTTTTTTTAAAACATATTTCTTTTACTTGATATGTATGGGTGTTTTACCTGTATGTACGCCTGTGCACCATGTGCATGTAGTACCCTCAGAGGCCAGAGGGGGCATCAGATCCCTTAGAACTGGAGTTATAGATGGTTTTGAGCAGCCATGTCAATGCTGGGAATTAAACCTGAGTCCTCTGCAAGAGCAGCCAGGGCTCTCAACAGCTGAGTCATCTACCTCTCCAGTCCAACACTGAAGATTTTTTAACAACATCATTAGCATTTAATAAGACCACTGTAACATAGGCTTCCATTCTTGGCCAAAATGTCCCTACAGAGGACACAGGTGTAATGGGTCCATGAGGTTCTTCTATCTGTGCCCATCTCTCATCACTGGGCAGGCTCAGCTGTCTCAAGTTCACCAGCTCTGTAAATAGTTGGGCACCTTATCTAGAAGCTTCTTTGGTTAATGGCATATCTACTTTTGAATCATGAAATGTATTGATGTCATCTGGACACTTACACACAATCTCTTTATCCATCTTAGAGTCCAGGTTCCCGTGAGCTATGTTTGTTCCAACAATGTATCATTAAAGTCACTCTCACACAATGAGAAACTCAACAGATCCAACCCTGTGTCATCCTCGTCACCCTGAGTCACCTGACTGAAAGACAGGCTAGAGTCAGAGGTTCTCAGCTTGACACCTGGGCTCCGATGATCCTTCTGTGGTTAAAGACTCAAATATTTGTACAATTCTACTTCAAACACGACTGTCCTGCTAAATTACACTTCCTACCAACATCATCAAAATCCAGCCCAAGCCCACTTCTCCCACAAAACTTCCCTAAACTCTTTCCTCCTCAAAAAGCTGCTACATGAGAGTTTACGTGTTGTTTCTTAAGTCCTGAGTCTGCACATCTCTCCTGTGGGCCAGCCCAACCACACTTTTATCACAGCCATGGTTTTCTTTTCTTTCCTTTTCTTTTCTTTTTCTTTTTTTTTCTTTTTTTTTTTTTTTTGCTTCCAACCAAAGTCTTCCCTCCCTCCACTCCTCCCCCACCTGTCCTCTATCTCCCCCATCCACTCCTCCTCCACTGTTTCTCTTCAGATACAGGTGGCCCTCCTATGGATATCAGCCATTCAAGGTATAGCAAGCTTCAGGTAGACTAGGCTCCTCCTCTTCTTTTAAGGCTGGATGAGGTCTAGGAGAAAGGGTCCCAAACACAGGTATTGGAGTCAGAGACAGCCCCTGCTCTCACTATTAGGAGTCTCACAAGACCACCACATTCCACAGCTGTCACCTATATCAAGAGCACCTAGGTCAGTCCCATGCAGGCTCCCTGGTTGTCAGTTCAGTCTCTGTGAGCTCCTATGAGCCTAGGTTAGCTGACTCTGTGGGTTTTCTTGGGGTGTCTTTGACCCTTTTCACAACCATGTTCTTGAATTTACTATCTACCAACTTTCGTACATACTCAAATCTGAGAATGTGTAGTGCTGGCATAGAATGTACGCACACCTTCCTTTATACATTCAAATGCCTCTAGGTCACTTACAATCACTAATATAAAGCAAATACTTGGCATTTTATAATGTTTGGGAACAGTGATGAGAAAAGTTGATGTGTTTCCAGCAGAGGTGTGATTTTTAAATATTTTCTGTGGTTGTTTGAGCCCATAAATGTGGAGCCCCAGAGACTGGGGGGGGGGGGACTGTTGTACATTTAATTTTATAGCAGTTAAATGTGCTTCGCATTAAGCTGTGTGTCTTACTCATTTTAGGAGACCACAAGCTTACTACATTAATGGTTCAGGAGTCTCTGTCCCCCTGTGGCTTTTGGAACAGCTTTCTGCAGCATAGATATGCCAGATGAAGTGACCCAACTGGATCCCAACTTGAGCTCAGAATAGTGAACACTCACTACCCTCAGGTTATCAAGGATTCTAATTTTTTCACTTGTGTAATGGTTGGTTGAAATGCTAAAGTAGCTCTTCTAGATGAAGAACTGGCTACCCCATCCCCAGGGCTGAATCAAGAGAAAGCATGAGAAAACTACATTCTGGAGTTGAAGAGATGATTCAATGGTTGAGTACTTGATGCTCTTAGAGAACCCAGGTTCAATCCCAGCACCCGAGTGGTGGCTCACATTGTCTCTACCGCCAGTTCCAGGGGGGATCTGATGCCCTCTTCTGGCCTCCATGGGTACTGAAAGCATATGGTTCACAGACACAGGCAGACAAAATATCCACACACATTAAATAATAAAAATGATATTTCTAAAAATTAAAGAAAAACAACATTCCGATTGCCATGTATAGCTGTTACGTCCATTTGTTTCCCTTTTTAAGTAAAGCTGGAGAGATTTTCATATCACTAACAGGAAAATGGCTTTTCAAAGATTAAAACTTATGCTTACAGTCTCCCTGAACTATCAAGACTACTGTGTAAGGCTATGAGTTTTCGTATACATATTCAAACACTGTACCTTTGCATGCACCGCCTAGTTCAGTGAACACAGCAACATATTCCCCTTCAGAAGAATTTCAGTAGGGTAACCATGTGAAGAGTCAAAAGTCAAAAGTTCCAAGCTTAAACTTTGGTAGATAACTTTCCTGAGCAAATATCTGGTATCTGCAATATTCAGTTAAATTTAATGATGTAATTTTATATGTACTTACCCGTGGTGATTGCTTATAAACCCACCTGTTCCTCTGCCTTAGCAAACTGTTACAAAAAGGTAACAGTTGTAGTTATTCAGATTCTTGGCCCTATTTTATAGTGTTTCATACATTAAAACAGCCTTTATTCAAAATGCTTGGTGAAAGAAGTGTTTCAAAATGTGCACTTTTTCCAGATTTGGATATATATACTGAAATGCCACAGGATCCGACCCAAGTTTAAATACAATATTCATTTATATTTAGCCTGCACCTTTTATATATTACTTAAAGGCAATGTCACATAGTGTCTTTAATGCATATTCATTTTTACTGCAATCTATTCACATGGTCAGGAAGTGACATGTTTTGCTTGTGAAATCATATCAGCACCCAAAATATTTGAGGTTTGTGGGCCAGCAGGATGGGTAAAAGTGATGGTTGATCAAAGACTTGAGTTTAATTTCAAGAACCCACATGGTGGAAAGAGAGACCAGACTCACACAGGTGATCCTCCAACCTCCCATGTCTATGAGACACACACACACACACACACACACACACACACACACACACACACACACACACAGTAAATGTAAAATAAAATACTAATCTTTTAAATGTTTCAGGTTTTAGAGAATTGCTTCAAATTAGGAGTGCTTAATCTGCCTGTGTTTCCTCTCAACTAATACTCTAAAACATGATCCTCTGAAGGCTAAACCAGCTTTATAGGTTCAATCCCACTGTAATGTGCTTTAATGTTGGTAGGGTATACAAGCGAAGGCTCTGAGCTGAGGCTCAGTAGCTGACCGTGGTGCTGAACTCAATGCCTGCCTGAATAGTATCAACAGTGACAGCTCCTGGGACTGGCTTTGTTCCTTGCTTTTGTAAGTAAGGTAGAGAACTGTTGCATTTTAGCCCGATAAATAATCAAGACACTATTTGCAGAATCTTTGTTTTGATGTAGCACAGGCTATTTAAAGTGTGAAATGTTTTCAGAAG